AGAGAGAGAGAGAGAGAGAGAGAGAGAGAGAGAGAGAGAGAGAGAGAGAGAGCAACCCCCCCAAAAACCCCCCCCCTCCCCCATTTTTTTTTTTTCCGCACGACCCCCCCGACATGTTCCGCTCCACGCACGGGCCCCCGCCGGGCTCTCGCGCTCATTTTTTGGCGAGCGCGCGTGCCTGAAGCGGGATTGAGCGCGTGCTTAAGTGTGCTCAAACAGTTACACAGTAATAGAGTGATAGATTGATAGAGAGATGGAGCAAGCGATTGCTATGTAGATGGACAGGCCGACGGATAGGCGGATAGATAGATAGATGGATAGATGAATAGATACACAGATAGATAGCTGGATAACATGGATAAAAGTAGATAGGTTAGATAGACTAGTGGGATTAGATAAATGAGATTAGATCAATTGATCAATGGAGACTTAGATGGATAGATGTATTTATAGATGGATCGACGGGGAGAGAGAGAGAGAGGTAGCTGGATAAGATGGATAAGACATAAGATTGGACAGACTAGATAAATTAGATAGATTGATGGACAGATAGAGAGATCATATTGATAAATGGATCCATGGATTGGATGAGAGAGAGATTGATAGATGGTTCACTATACAAAGATCAATAGAGAGAGAGTAGAGGTGCACATGGATAGATGGATAGATACGGACATAGATAGACGGACAGTCACATAGAAAAGTTATACCTAGATTTCCATCTTATCTACCAGATCTAAGATAAATCTTGTAGATAAGATGGAAATCTAGGTACAACTTTATTATATGGTCCAGAAGTAAAATTTAGGCGTCCTGACTGCTTTCATGCAATGTGGAACATCATACGACTCCCGGGGGGGCTGAATAGACAGAACACATCGATGAATAGACACATAGATAGATAGATGGATAGCTAGACAAGATAAGATGAAAATCGAGGTACAACTTTTATTATAAGCCACACAGGGTGTTTTTATCGGTGCAGCTGTCTGGCATGATCCTTTTTCTTTTTTGAAAAGACGCTGGACCATTTATCAACTTGCGTGTGTCATCCTTGCACAGAGGCGATGCTAATCTTCCTTGTATCGTTCCAGTTTTGGCGGATGTCCCAAAGGATGATGTGGTCCTCTTTTCATCTCATTGTCTGTCTATCAGTCATTCGGTCTCTCTGCCGACCTGCTTCCCTGGCCTGTTTTGCTGAATGCAAATTCAATCGTTGAAAGTTCAGTTTCGCAAGGCCCTTTCTCAGTATGAGCTGTCTAGCAATTGCAAATGGTGATAGGATCTGAACAGACTTTGTGCTGCTGAAAAGCAATCTCTCTCTCTCTCTCTCTCTCTCTCTCTCTCTCTCTCTCTCTCTCTCTCTCTCTCTCTCTCTCTCTCTCTC